GATGACACACATGCATGCACGTCTTTATAGAATTCTGTCCCCAGCATTGCAATTGCAATTAGTTGTGTGTGCTGTGGATATATGCTGCTATGTTAATCCTTTTTTTGTTGAAATTTATTTTCTGGTGTGGTTGTCGAGTAGTGGCGGTGGCACTGTGTGCGGTCGGTACGGGTTCGAATCCTATGGGGGCAACGATTTTTTTATATATTACTACCAAGCAATTGAGCTCGTAGCACGAGCTGCGTTGGGAGTTGCTTTAGAAGAGCGTTCAAGTTTTCACCTACTGTTATTTGGTATTGGTAATGTTACTTGGTATTTGTCAGATTAATATTATTGTGATTGCGTACCCATGGCATCTTTTGATCTAGGACGTGGTGTCAATTAGTATCGTATCGAATGATTTGGTGGCATTGGTGTTATCGTTGTCGGTGTTTTTTGGTGTGCAAAGTTGTGTTAGCTTGTTGACATTTTAAACAAGTTTTCATTTATTTGTTCACTGCTTGTGTCGTTCGGGCCAGTAATAATATTGTCTTATCTTCCGCAGAGTTCTAGAAACTCCTGTGTGGCCTTTGGAAGAATTGACCTGAATAGAAATTTCTATTGGAATACAGATCATTTAATTTATACTCTGTTCTCGTTTTGTCAAGTTATAATTTCACGAACTGTTTTCAACGTCATTACTTGAGGTGGTTTCAATGTTCGCTACTTATTTTTTTTTTTTTTTTGAATTCCTCGATTGTTATTCGGAATAAGGCGTCTGCGACATGGTTGTCTTTCAGTTTGAGATATTCAACAGTGAAATGAGATCCTTCCAAGTCTAACAGCATTCGCATTAAGACCATTATAATTTTATTTCTTCATGAAGAACCCAACTTTTAGCGCCCCCAGCGCTAGCCGGCGAGAAGGACCATCACAAGCTAGGCTACATAAATTGCTGACATCTGGAAACTAGGAGGGACGAGGAGAGGATGGCAGAAATCCAACAGCAGGTTTTGGGCATGCTACAGCAAATCCTTATCCTTTTGACTGCGTTGCTATCAAAATGAACACAGCATGGAAGGAATGTACTAAAGGTGGAGGCTGTGGTCCAAAAACACGCCATCGGAATAATTCAGCTGTCAAAAACTAGAACCAACGGTTCTACTTTCCCCAGAATCTATGGCTTCGAGGCGTACCCTGTACACTGGACTCGAAATCACTCAGCTAATGGCGGCTGCGCTGCCCTCGTCCGGAGTAACTTGGTCGACTTCCCGCAATAATCGTGTTTACCATTATTTGACTGTGGAAGTCTCCACTGATGCTGGTAGCGTGGACTTTGGAGCAGTCTATTGCAGGCCAAATGAATAGACGTCTACTGATAATTTCAACGTCATACTCAGCTCGGGTGGAAGCAGATATCTGATGGGAGGCGACTGGAATGCACATCACTAGCTGTGGAGCGCAAATAGCAGCAATGTTCGCCAAGCGAAGGTACTGACCACAGATTCTCCCGTACTGCCAGCAGAGGCACTCCGTCTTGCATAGACTTCGCCATCTACCAAGGAATCCCTGACCAGCTCCTTTAAATCGCTGACGATTGGGACCTCCCGAGCGATCACCTGGCTATGATAGTTACCCTGGAGAGCAAGGCCAGAGTGGTCTGCGCAATACCGAGGCTGATCAACGCACACACTGATCTTGGCGTCTTCCAGAGGCAGATAAGTGATAGTATACACCTCAATACTGAAATTGGCACTGAATTGGATGTAGAGGACGCTATTGAGCTGCTTAACGCAAAGATTCGCGCAGCAGCAGCCGAAGACACCCCACCCACCAGTTGCCAGGCGGCTGGGTAGTGCTGGCAACGGACTGCCCGCAGATATAGCCAACCTGCTCAGGATCAAGAGGCGGTGTAGACGCAGGTTCCAGACGACTCAGCATACGTGGGACAGAGTGGACTGGCGAAGAACAGAGCGGCAACTCAAGGAGGCCCTTCGCAGACACAAAGACGCATCCTTCTCCAGAAGGTTGGAGAGCATGGACTATACCCATGACTCAGGATACTCGCTCTGGCGAGCAACTAAAAATCTGAAGCGTCAACCCTGGAGAACCGTCCCCCTTCTTCTCCCCATTGAACATACTGCCTTACAGACGAAGAGCAAGCTGATACCTTCGCCAGCCATCTGGAGGTTCACACCTTTCGATTTGGCCTCCCCAGAAGAGCTCGATGACACTACCCGAGCGTTGTAGTCTCCGCTTCAGAGGTCACCACCTATCGGCGCCATCCGTTTGGAGGAGGTGATCAACGTCGTCAAAGTCCTTCCCAGGGCTAAAGAACCGGGCCATGATGGAATATGAAATATCACTTTGAAGGCCGTGCCAATGCTCGGGCTCCTTTTTATAACGTTGACCTTCAACGCCATATTAAGGACGCAACACTTTCCTGCCCAGTGGAAGTTAGCGACGATCCCTTTGATCCATAAGTCTGGCAAGCCGGAATATGAACCTGAGTCATATCGGCCGATCAGTCTCCTGCCTTCCTTGTCGAAGGTCTAGGAAAGACCGATTGTTGCCCGACTCGCTAGGCTTATGGATCACATGGCCATTCTTCTTGTTCACCAATTTGGTTTCAGTGGTGGACATGGCGCTGTGAACCTGTCACAGAGTGATTAACCATATTCTTAAGGCTTACGACGACAAGGACAACTGCTATGGAGTCTTTGTAGACGTTAAGCAGGCCTTCGACCGAGTCTGGATTGATGGATTGCTCCAGAAAATTAAGATGAGTCTTCCCGCCCCTTCTTTCTACCTCTGCACTCTTATCTAATGGAGCGAAAGTTCGAAGTCAAAATCCGGACAGCAGTCTCTCCTGTTCGCAATAAGAAGGCGGGCTTACATGGCAGACATCCTTACTCCGCATAACCTACACGAGTTCGCCACCCCAGGCAAACACTTGATGGCCACATTTGACGATGACGTGGCAATATTTTACTCCGGCCACTGTGAGTACGAAGCCACTGACGGTACTTAGGAATACATCCACTTGCTTGAGAGCTGGGCACGCAGGTGGAACATCAAGCTCAATGCCTCGAAGTGCAAGGCGGTCAACTACTCACTTTGGCGTGGCAAGGCTTCAGCAGTGTGAATAGATGGCAGCCCCCTTCACCCTGACAGATGCGCCAAGTATCTTGGAATTGTACTGGAGGTAAGAGGTTTACCTTTGCGGCGCACATCGACGGCCTTCTCAAAGGTAGCTTTAAGATAGCCAAGGCCAACTGGCTACTAAGCCCCAACAGCCCACTGCCACTTCGCTACAAACGAGCAGTTTACAACGTCGTGGTGGCGCAAACTTGACGAAACAGTATCGAAGAGTGGGGCATTGCATCTCGGACAAATCAAAGACTGATTTAGACACTCCAAAACTTGGCCTTGCGGCGATTGACCGGTGCTGAATGGTACGTCAGAAATTCTACCTTGCACAGAGACCTCGGAGCATTCGCCAACCGATACAACGAATGTTTGCAGCGACACTGCAACCGGCTCGCAAGCGACCTGGCTGGGAGGCTTGTAGTCAGGAGGCTCAAGAGAAGATACGTCAAGGACCTCCTTCAACTGCGACATAGGAGTAGCCCCAGAGCTCCCGACTACATACGTGGCGATGCAGCCAGGCTGGGAGAAATATCCTCTAAGTCAACTGTGTTGTCATAAAAATGTATGCTATTTATGTTTCAATACAATTAATATTCATAAAAAAAAAAAAAAAACGAAGAAACACTTCTTATTTTTTTGTAATGCTTGTTAAATTCTTCAATCTAACAGCTAGGCTTAAAAGGCGTATTTGTGTGTTTGAAAATTAACCTCCGCCTTTTTGTGGTAGGCAGTATATATGTTAAAACCTGTCGGTTCGAAAAACTATATCACAAAACCGTCAAAGGGATCTGCGAGAGTAAAATTCTTTGGTAAAGTCCCTTCCTTCTCAAATTTATCCCTGGTTTGGTTGTCGAGTTTAGTCATTGGCTTTCCGGGCGAAGCTGCTTGACCGACCGAAGCCTTCGAGGTCAAGCCTTAACCGTGTCGCTTTTATTCGATTGTAATGGTACTACATACATGCTGGTCGTTATGACCAACATTGAGTTAACACTAATCGAGTCACTAAAACATCTTGTCATACGGAAATATATTTTTAATATTGTGTCTACGTTGGGAATTTTCCTAGATGGAAGCGTTCATATCGACGGACTCTGTTCTGTTATTACCGAAGCAGGCAGAAGGAAGCATCTCCAACCCCATGAACGTTCATCCATCTGTACGTATGAGCTCGACGATCTCAGAACCTATAAGAGCTAATTCTAAAAAGTAGCACCAGATTTTTTTAGTGTTAGTAACATAGGAGAAAGTTTGGGCAATTTGCTTGGTGGGAATTCCCCAGTAGAACATTCTTGCTTGATTGATTTTAAATAAATTGAATAAATTTGCCAAGGCCAACAACCTGTTTAAAATTATTCATAGTGTGTATGCAATTTTTGTTTACAGCAGAGAAACTCGATACTGAATATTATAAAATGAACTAGTCTCGATATGTATGTTTTCCCAAGACCGCTCTGTTCATTGTATATTTGATACAATATCTAGAGGTATCGTAAAAAAGAAAAAGTCATTCTTGCCTATGTACCTTTACGTATACATTTATATATGTTAAATATCAACCTCCAACGATGAACGACAGACATTGTACACAACCAATATATACATATTTTCATTTTGTGCACCGATTCTAATTCTATTTTTTGCACATTTGACTTTAGACATTATTGGTTTTGTGACATGCCATAAATAAATAAATTGCCGCTTTAAATAACACACAATTTCCTCGTGTTTGTATTCTTATTTCACCTGTCGAAGCTTTCAGCCCATATTAGCAATAAGCAATATTAAGTTGCTGTCGCCTATATTTTTCCCTTTTATTCCTTATGCTTCTTTCCAAACTTATCATATTAATATAACATTTATTATTATCTTAGGATCTGGAATATTTGTGTCACCTTCTGGTTTACTGGTTCGCACCGGTTCCGTTGGAGTTAGCTTCATAATCTGGCTTGCCTGTGGTCTGCTCTCGTTGTTGGGTAAGTACCACTAATGCGCCACTTGCCGTATATACATATACTCTTTCATATTCCTGGCATCCCTGGCCAATTGTGTGGGAGCATTTAAATTTTGGTCCCTCTAGTTATGTCACGCTTCCTGTGGGATTAACAATAAGATCTTAACATTTTTTTGTCGAGCATATATATAAGTATATATTCTAAAATTGCGTTGTTTCCCATGTCAGAATGTTAGCATTTATACCGACGCGCCTTTACATAAGTGTGTATTCGAAATTTTACTTAACTTCAGAAGCAAACAGAGAAACAGACTATGCATAGTCGATATCGGAAACTATGACAGAAGACTTAAAATTTACAATATAGGTGTTCCATAGCGGATCGAATTAGTGAACATCTTGCCCCGTTTCGATAATGAATGTTGATAATGGGAATGTTGAAATCCTGTTCTGCTTCTTGGAAATTATAAGAGCTAGAGGCATAAAATATGCCATGTAGATTTTTGTGTATTATTCACTGGTCAAGAACACTTCACTTTTTGGTAGCCTCCCCCATTGTATCCAAAAAACACATTTTTGGCGATATAATCTTTGGCTTTGTAATTTACAGACATTAGATTAATAATGGTTATTGCGTAAATATATTTGTGATTCTCAAAATAACTGCTATACTCTGACTATCTGTAACGATAGTTAGGCGCTTTAGGATGCCACCTGATTCTATTTAAGGAAGGTACTACCTTATACTCATTCTCCTGCTCTTCATCTGTCACAGATGAATCTGAACCATCGTCTTCACTTCTTTTTGCTCATTAGTGTTTATTGTCAAAAACTTCTAAGCAATTTATGATAAGTCTAACGCAATATAAATACGTAAGAAGAAAATTAAAGTACTTTTGAAAGGATTGTTACGATTAAGAATCTTTTTTAACATTTTCGAGGAGAAATATCAAAATTTTCAGAAGATAATAAGCACGGGAGCATTAACCTTCGCTAGGAAGAATAAAATTGTCCCAATAAACCTGCAAGGAAAAAAGGAATTAAATTTACAATCCTTCTTAATTTTATTACTTATCTATTTAAATTTTCTTTTGTGTCGTGGAACAGCCGTTATTTGAGGTTGTCTTTGTGCACCACCCTCCCCTTAATGAGAGCATACATTCCTAGTATGGAATGTAACTTAAAATTCAAGTTAAAACACCTGCTTCCAGCGCTACATTATAGCATTCTAGAGTCATTCCAGTAGAACCTTTTTTGTATCTGTCAAGAGTGAACTCTCGAAAAGAAACCACATAAAAGGTGGTGCTACACAAGGAAGTGTGCTAGGGCCTGTGCTATACACACTCTTTACATCCGATATGTCGAGTCAGATCTGGCACAATACCGACTCACCTCCAAATATGCTCATTGCAACATATAACGATGACACAGCAATATAATTGCATATAATGTGAGTACACAGCCTCAGACGACTTGCAATACTAATTCAGGATTGGACAAAGCTTTGGAATATTCACCCTAAGGCGCAACATCTGTCCAGGCGTATTTTTTGATGACCAGTTCATACCACAAGCTACAAACCACAGATATCTTGGCATTACACTGGAAAAAAGATTACCCTAGGCAGCACACTTTTCTATCACGGCAATCAAGACTAATATTTAATTCTTTGTTGGTACCATAGTGTGTTTTACTTTCTTTCAACACTCTTGAAATATTGATAGGCTCTCTTGTAGCAATACCGTATATCACCGTAGTCAAAAGCATCGGTTATTAGATCGAATAGTTTCCTTAAATCTAAATATGACATCTTCTGAATTTTATACATTTCCCTTAAACCCATTAAAAATGGGTAAAAGGGGCATAATGTATCTATGCAAATGTATGTAACAAGCAGAAGGAAGCATCTCCGACCACATAAAGTATATATATTCCTGATCAGCATCAATAGCCGAGTCTATCTAGCCATGTCCGTCTGTTTGACCGTCCGTACATATGAACGTAGGTCCTCCTAGTGCCTGCGCAGTATGAGTTTGTTTCCGATATTCGATAACTTGGCCCGTTTCCAAGCAATGGGAAAAAGTCGATATCGAAATCCTGTTTTTTTTTTTTGGTAAATAAAAAGGACTAGTATATATACATATATATATCAAGTATCTTTCATTTTATAGCTATCACCACCACCCCGCTACTACCTCATAGCTACAAATCAGGTAAATAGGCCAATTTATACTGCCCACCAATACAGGCCACAATTTAAATGCAATTGACTTGAGATTTGAGAATTGAGAATATTTGATAACACAATAAGATCTACTGTTGAAAATTTCATCATGATCGGTTGAGAAACACAACAGTTATTAAAGAAAATGTGTTTTGGCTGCCCAAGTGCTTGTGGCAGCTAGAGCGAATTGCAAGAATTTCCGTATACATGTACAGACACACATTCATGCGCTTCTTCTATAAATTCGATCAACGGCATTCCAATTGCCGTTCGGTTTTGGATATTTCTGTATGGCTTCGCCGCTCATGATGACTATAACCCCAGGGTACTCTACGCTTTGTTTGAAAAACATAAGTCTTCTCTCTAGAAACTTTCCTGGCAGCGTCACACACGCACTTTAAATCCCATTCTAAGTGCCTTACATGATCCTTTTCATTCTCAGAAAAAATTAAAACGTTATCCACGTAAGCGTTTAGCGTTTTGCCAATCTGTTCATTGTTTCCAGCATTCTTCAATCTGAACAAATGTTGACAGAGCTCATAGTGTTCACCGTTTACGGAGAAAGAGTTTTTTTACGGTCTTGTCGAACCGAAGATGTTCATCACTTCGGATGGATTTGGTTAGAACCATGGATATAGCTAACTAACGCAAGTGACCGGAATTACATTTCTTTGCTTTTTTACAGGCTTAATATATTTCTTGGACTCCCCTGTGGCTATTAGGATTCTTATTTGTTTCCAGGTAGCCGGGAGCGTTCCCAAAAAAGTTTAACAACTCGTTTTCATATGTCGAGTCAGAGTCATCCCGATCCTTGGTTACCGCGGCTGTAACCGCCTCTGACCTGTCATACGTTTGTATCGTTTTTGTCCCTGTACAATTATAGCCTGAGTATTAGCGGCTTGGCCATTTCCAAAGTACGTGCGCAACTGTGTGACATTGAGGGGTCTATGTCCATTGAGCACCGTTGCTCTATCATGTACTTTGCGACGAGAGTCAACTTTCGTTCCACTTCGTTCCATTTTTGCATGAGGCAGTTTTCGCCCAGCCTGAATATCTCTAGCCCCTCGTCCTTGTGAACGTCTCATTACAATAAAAAAGATACTCATAAAACACTCGCCGATAACAGCTTGCACCATTCGATTCGGAATTAATTTAATAACAATTAAATTGTTTTTATTTTTGATTTGCGGTCTTTTGTTGAACAACCCACTTACATGTTTTTGTGTGGAGCTATATTTCCTTCCTAGCTAACCATGCCGATAGAGTTGAGGTTCTATTTCAGTAGGGCGCCAATAATTCAGTTGGACCTCTGATGGAATCCAGTAATGGGCGTCATGCTCAATATTTGCTGTTGATTTCTCTGTGCCGTGCTTCAGCGTGAGTCGATGTTCGACCTGATTTGTATAAATTCTGGCCTTGTGGCTCCGGCAAGTGACAGAGAAATGTTTACTTATAGGTCGAGTATCGATTTAAGCTATTTCTACAAAACGGAAACTGAACCCACCAGCGGGCATAAGCTATAGCCTTGAAACAAACTCAGTTTTTTCTCATAAGCAAAACGCTGCACTGACCATTACAATCAGGACGCAGAACTGAGGCATTCGCTGCGTCAGCACCATGAGTGCGATTAGCCAATTCGGGAGTTAATTATAAAGTACTAAGTTACTAGCACTAATTAACATATATGTTTTTGGGCGAATTCGACCAATTTCGCCACCTATACGTTAGCTAGAAATAAGTATATGATATAATTCCCAAATTTTGTAATACTGAAATGAAGCGCCTTGCTTTTCCTTTAGTCGTCGTGATCGATCAAAGTTTAGCCACCGCTGAATAGCTTTTATAGATATCGCCAGCCCGCCCCGCTCGATAGCTATAAATTAAATAAATAAATCGATCTGAACTACCCACCAATTCAAGTCAATTTTTTATGTTGTTGTTTTTAGAGACTCTGAGACCAGCAAAGGTTTTATATAGGCCTCGCCCCTTACTAAGGGGAAATGTTATGCTCGACTAACATCAGGGGTCTCTGAGTGCAATTGCCACCGCTTTGTTGCTGTCCACTGTATTATGTGTCACACATGTGGCAAACATCGTGGTAGTGAACCTGCATGGGGCACACACCGCGTCAAACAAATCTATACTTTCTTTCCGTCTGCCTGTCCGTGTATCTGACCGTCTGTCCGTAGGTACGCACGCAAGGATTTCAGAACCTATAAGGGCTAGAGATTTGAAATATTGAACGTAGGTCCAGCTGGCTTCGGCCAGGAGTCTTTTTGATGCGTCGGTCGTTCATTTGAAATGGTTGAGTGTGACTGAAGCATCACCAGCTAGTTACGAAATCATGTGGCTTAGAACGATACAAAATCAAGTGGTTACATTTTTCGCTATCGTAGAGCGTATTATCATTATACACAAACATTAGGAAAAGGCTTATAAAATTGTTCGATTAGGAATGTTTCCTCTTGGAAGGCGAAGCACTGCTGGGAGGTGTGTTTGTATGTATGTATGCTGTGCAGTTTTATAGTATTTTTATGATTTTATTAGTTTAAATAATAATAATTAACCAATTTTTTATTAATCTCGTTTTTGTACTCTAAACCCATTAAAAATGGGTAAAAAGGGTATAATGTTTATGTGCAAAAGTATATAACAGGCAGAAGGCTGAACAGCATCAATAGCTGAGTCGATCTAGCCATGTCCGCCTGTCTGTCTGTCTGTCGTCCGTATGTATGAACGCAAGGATATCAGAATCTATAAGAGCTAGATAAATTTTAGCTGTAGGTCCTCCTAGTGAC